CCCTGGAAGTCTTCAGGAACACTCTAAAAGATTTCCGGACTTGCCGCTAGAAGTCTTCTGTACTTGAAGTGGAAGTCCTATAAGTTCTCTGAACTAGAGACAAACAGCTGAAAATCTCTTAAATCAATGCTGTAGAAGCAAGTACTGTGACTTCTCTGTAAATGCCCAGGAAGTGCTCTGGACTTGCCCTGGAAGTGCTCAGGAGTAGCACTGAAAGTCTTGTTTTGGAAGTCTTCTGAACTTGAGTGCAAGTCTTCTGGACTTGTCCTGTTAGTTCTCTGAACAAGAGATGAACGGCTGAAGTTTAATCAATTGATAAGTTCTCTGTACATGCTGTAGAAGTCCTCTGTACTTGCTGTAGAAGTCCTCTGTACTTGCTTTAGAAGATGTACAGTAAGGTCTCTGTGCTTGCCCTGGAGCATAGACTTGATAACTTGCCCTGGAAGTCTCCAGCATTACGATAAAAGTTCTCTGGAAAGGCCCTGGAAGTCTTATGTACTTGCAGTGGAAGTCCAGTAAGTTTTCTGAACTAGAGACGAACAGCTGAAAATCTCTTAAATCAACGTAATTGTTCATCTGTACTAGCTCTAGAAGCAAATACTGTGAATTCTCTGTAAATGCCCAGGAAGTGTTCTGGACTTGCCCTGGAAGTGCTCGGGAGTAGCACTGAAAGTCTTGTTTTGGAAGTCTCCTGAACTTAAGTTCAAGCCCACACGCCTTGCCTTTGGAGATTTCTGTTTGCCGAGCAGGATCTCTTGACTTTCCCTGGAAGACAGGACTTGCTCGGTGAATCCTTTGGATTAACCTTATGTAAGTTCTCAGCAAGAATTCGCTTGTACTTGCTCTAAAAGTCTTCCTGACATGCCGTGGAAACCTTATCTTCTTGCTCTTGGTGATTTTCGGGACTAGCATTGGAAGTCATCTGAACGTACTCTTGATTTGCCTCAAGAAGTCAGCTGCATTTGCCCTGGATGTCCTCTAGACTTATCCAGACAATGCTTGGAAGTCCTCGGAACTTGCTCTGATAAACCTCTGGACGTGCTCTGGAAGTTCTCTGGACTTGTATTGGAAGTTATCTGGAGTTGCCCTAGACATTTTCAGGATTTACACAGGATTTTTTTAGACGAGCGTTGGAAGTCCTCTGGGCCTGTCATGAAAGACCTCTGGACTTGCCGTGGAAGTCCTCTAGATTGACATTGTAAATTCCTAGAACTTGCTCTAGAAGTCCTTTGTAATTACGCTATAGAAGCCGGATTTGCCGCCATGGATCCAGACGATGCTTGGAAGTCCTCGGAACTTGCTCTGATAAACCTCTGGAACGTACTCTGGAAATCCTCTGTACTTGCACTGAGGACTTTCCTGGCAAGATTTTCAGTGTCAGAACTTGCTCTGGAAGTTCTCTGGACTTGTATTGGAAGTTATCTGGAGTTGCCCTAGACATTTTCAGGATTTACACAGGATTTTTTTAGACGAGCGTTGGAAGTCCTCTGAGCTTGTTCTGAAAGACTTCTGGACCTGTCGTGAAATTCCTCCAAATTTGTCCTGAAAGACCTCTGGACCTGTCGTGGAAGTCCTCTAGATTGACATTGGAAATTCTCAGAACTTGCTCTAGATATCCTTTGTAATTACGCTATAGAAGTTCTCCGGATTTGCCCCCAGGAAGTCTTCTATATACCAATGCCCGATCGTCTTCCAACCCTCGTAGCGTATTTTGCGATACCATGATGGATCACAACAATCCCCCTCCCCCTTAAAGGCTACGTCATTTTTGCATGATTAGGTGCACCAAATCTATTAATGCTTTCCGTAGGAATTTTATATGACATTCTCTGGGAGTCCTTCGGATTTACTGCATAGAAGTTCTCTAGATTTACCCAGGAATTCCTATGCACTTTCTGAAAGTTATCTGAGCTTCCTTGTTCTTCTTCGCATTTCCAGCTTATTTCTTATCGCATATTAGCTTATTGCGTGCTCTCAACCTGGTGTCCTAGATGCACTTCCACAGTTATTAATTAAGAACTGTCTATGCCTGTACCAGTTTTGCATTAGTATAATTGTGTGGCAAGTACAATCATATTCTATGCCCAGGGAAGTCGAGAAGTTTTCCAACCCGAAAAATTCCTAGACCGAGCCGGGAATCGAACCCAGCCACCTCCAGCATGGTTTTGCTTTGTAGTTGCTTCTATTCTGGACTTGAATTGGAAGTCCTTCGGACATTTCCCGGGAATACATTGACCTTACCCACTGGTATTTCTGTAGAATTGCACTGTAAATCCTCTAAAATTGCAACACAAATTCTGTGGTCCGCAAGTCCTGTAGAAGTGCTAAACAAGTTATGTGAGAATGTCTTCAAACTCCAAAAGGCTCTGTAGAATTATTTCTTTGTAGTTTTCTATCGAAACTACTGGAATGGCAATACAAGCTTTACAAATTTGTCTTTAATTAATGAGAAGTCCTGTGCAGTTGACTCACAAGCATCTATGAGTTTTACACAGAACCTATTAAGTAGAATAGAGTTTCGTTACAAGTACAAAGGGTTTTGCTCGAAAACTCAGTGGAGTTACATGACAAGTCTTGTACAGTTGAACGAGTCCTGTGAAGCTATCTTACAAGTTCTACGTTCCCTAGTTCTCCAGAAATGATCCACAAGATCTACAAGGCGCCGACCTACAATGTCCTATGGAGTTGGTTGGTTGAGTTTCTTTATTTAGGAGGCTTTCAGGCCCGAGGTCCAACCCCTTTGGAGTTGTCTACCTGGCCTGTAAATCTGTCCTAAAAGTTCTGAGCAGTACCTGTTAAAGCATCTGGAGTTACAGTACAAGAAATGTGGAGTTGTAAATTCTCTCATTATGAAGAGTTGCTCTAAAAGTCATGCCCCACAACAATTAAAGTGGGATTTCGTAACAAATCCTGTGGAGTAACATGTTCTGTATAGCTACTTTCTTTTGGGTGGAGTTGAATGACTGAATTCTGTGAATCAATCTACTAGACAAGCCCTGTGAAGTTATTCTTCAAATTCAAACCAGCTGCTCCCAAGTCCTACAGGATTGCTCCGCAGGCTCAGTGAAGTTGAGCTACAAATTCTACAGAGTTGTCGACCAGGGCTTTAAATTTATCCCAACAGTTGCCTCTATAATTACTGCCATAATGCTCTAGTAGAGTCCAGTAGACTTGACCCTCGAGTCTTTGTTTGACGTTTTTGGTCCTAACAGTTACAATTCCGGAGGTGTTGCCTTAACATTTCATGGAGTTGCTCTCAATCTCAAGTTTGTGCAGAGTTGCTTCAGTAGCATCCAGTAGTGTTGACCTTCAAGTCATGTGCGATTGTTCAACTGCTCTGTGGAATTGTCCTATAAATCTTGTAGACTTTTCCAACAAGCCGTAAGGAGTTGCCTCAAAAGTTGCGATCTCATTTTTCATAATCAACCGACAAATGTTAGTACTCTAAATGAACTGCAGTATTCGTCCACATGCCCTCTGGAGTTGATTCAGAAGACCTATGCGAAATTCTATGGAGTTGTCCTCAAATTCGGCAGACCTCAGTCCTAAATGATTTGTCGACAAGTCCCATGTAGTTGTTCCACAAGTCCAGGATAGTTGACCTACAAGTCCCTGTGCAATTGTCTATCCGCTCTGTGAGTTTGTCATGTAAATATTGTGAAGCTACTCCACAAGTCTTCTGATGTTGTTAACCTAATGTTTGTGAAGGTTCCAACAAGTTTCACATGGTTGTACTTAAATTTCAAATCCTATAGAGTTGCTATAAAGTTGCTTCAAGATGTCATAAAAAACCCTTTTTGAAATGTTAGCTCTTGTGCTACTGGAGTAGTTCCAAGTGTCCTATGAAGTCAATGAAGTGCTTTCTGTTCCCGTTGGAAGTTGTCTAAAGGGTCACCCACATTAGATCCGGATGTGACGAGTTGCGGCAAAGTGACAGCTAAATCTATTGTCTACCTGTCAAATTTACGTCAAAGCAACGCAAACGGATCTAATGCGGGTGGCTCTTAAGAGTTACTTAAATATCTCCAACTTCCGCTCGATTAAAAAAGATTTAGAAGATTTCTAGATGAAAGCTTCTAACTGAAAATCCAGAAATTGAAAAAAAAAAGTGTTAGAGTACAATGTTTGCCAAAATTCGCCAACATCAATAAGTCATCAGTCAATTGCTTTCAATCAGCCTATCCAACGATTACAATACTTTCTTCCCAATTTACGACAAAATAATTGTACACATTCCAAATAAGACTCCACACCACTTAGAACCAAAATATACTGAAATACCAGTGTTCCCAGATCGATTTTCCGCGCTTTCCGCATCTCAAACCATGCCAACTCTACACATCTTATTTCGCTGACATCGCTCGCGTAGATCTTCGCCGCGCGGAAGCGGCAAAAGACCGTGCAACTTCAGGCACGGCCAACCAGAGGAACGCAAATTATGCTGTTCCGGTGCAACAGTTTAGAGTTATTTCTTTTCAATGCATCGTGTGCCCCTGCTGGCTGGCTGCCGCCGCACCGCGACTGACAGTATGAAGAGAAGAGGTCACACGTGTGGCGGTTGGCGGTGACGGTGGGCAACAGAAAACTATGCTTAGAAAAGGGTTAATTGTTGAATGGAATTCTCCTTCGATGCCCTTTCTCTCGTTCCGTACCACCATCATCATCATCATCAGCATCGGTCGGATGGTGAACGTGTGCGAATGCACCAGAAGGAGTAACAATTCACATGACTTCTCGTTTGGCAGAGAGCAGCGCTGGTGATGGAGATGATCTCTGTGGCTTTTGTTCCGAAGGAACGTGTGCCGTTCACACAGCAAATTTAATGTTAGACTTGTGGGAAAAACTAACCCCGGGTTCAAATTTCAGCTGCAGTTCATTTCCCTTCGGAGCGGAAACCACACATTCGAATGTCACAATATGATTGACGAATCATTTTCGCGCCGCAAAACTGGCAGCACTGCTGTCAAAAAAAGAATAATATTGTTGCAAATAGCACTTACTCTTCTTGCAGTTCGATGCCACTGTCGTCCAGGCCTGCTAGGCTGCCATCTGACTGCTGCTGTTGCTGCTGCTGCTGCTGCTGTTGCTGGATGTGATGCATGGGATGATGATAGTGCGGGACATGGTGATGGTGATGATGGTGTACACTGTTTACAGTGGTGCCAGCTCCGGCCAGCACTGCTGGGGAATGGAAGAACTCCCGCTCGGCGTGCTCCGGCAGGGGTGTCGGCGTTTCGAAAACCAACGTTTCCACCATCGAACCCTTGGACGAGCCGAATGAGACCCTAGAATCCGGAGAAAGATACACAAAGAAAATCAATTAGTATCATTATCACCAGCAAAAGCGCACACGAACGCATCCGAAACGAATCGCTTAATTCGGGTTTCACTTCGCGGTCGACACGGTTGACCTAGTTTGGACAATTTTCAGTTTTCCGTTGGCTGGAGTTTGACAACCGAGAGCCGGTGAATAACAGTACGGCACCGATTCCGCCCCAAGCCGCAAAAGTGACCCAAAGCCGTAGCCACACATGGAAATTCGACGAGATAACAGCACAAAAATAACGAAAACCAGACCCATCTCAAAGTCAAACTTTGCGGGTGTAGTACCAAAAAAAAAACAGACAACTGCCACTGCGGAGTATCAATGAATGGAATGAATTATTCATCGTGGTAGAGGGTATCCACATGTGAAATAGAAGAGTGGAATGCACACACGATATTTTCCGCCTGTCTTGTTCTCAAAACGCGAAAAAAGGCAGAACTGTCACTCGCAAGCTTGAACCCACGAAAAGAAGGGGTGGGGAGGAAAGCCAAGTAGGCGGTGGAGGGTCATTAAACAGTTCCAAAACTGTTTCAACTGCGATGCCATTGTTCGCAGTAGGCCGCGTTCATGTGTGCAATATGTTTTATTTTTGCCGAAATGGATACAAATTGTTCGGTTTTTATGGCAACTAACTAGCGTTTTATAGCAAGCCATTTGTTTTCCCGGAGGGGGTAATTGGTCGTAAAATGTGATTGTGTTGTCAGTCAGTTCGAGTGAGCAATAAATCGTCGTCGTCGTCTGTCAAATTAACTGATTCGGATAACAACTTGCCGATTACTGTAGTTGGGAAAAGCCCTTTCCCTTTTGTATGTCTATTATCTTCGGACAGTAATGGAATAACAGCAGGGGAAAATGAAGTCAAATTAATATAAGTCACGAGCCAAAACAGTGAAATTTCCCCGCCTCACGCCCTTTTTCCAGCTTTAATCGAAACCGAAAGAAGGAAAAGATGAATCCAACACTCAACCCAGAGCAAAGTTAATTGAAAAGAACCATAACAATAATTCATTTCGTAGTAAAGATAGAGCACCGCCAGCTTGGAGGGCCTAAAAGCGAGTATTGTAGCTGCTGCTACAGTAACGATAGTTATCTATCACTCACTTATAATATGGCGCGAGGCAATCAACTACTGTACTGTAGTGTTTCAGAAATTCCTCGTTTGGAGAAAAACACCGAAATTTTAACGATAAATGCAAAGTTTTCTCGGTGGGGGAGGGTGGTTATAAGAAGGTAGGGGGCGCGGGGCAGTCATTAACCTTGAGGTCTGGTTTAAGTCAAACGAAATACTTCCTCGTGTGTTGGCTTTGCTTCTTGAAGCGTGGAAGTGGGGGACCGTTCTTAGTGAATCATATTTTTAAACATTTCAGGGAATTTTTCTGGAGATTTAATTTAATAAATTATATATTACCGTTATTTTAGGCCATTTTCGAATGTAGTCACGATGTCAAGCTGTAAAATGTATGCATAATGATTCCTAATCTGGATTAAATCCTTATCCTCGATTCGATAAGCACCAAGAGAGGATTAAACTATAAAAGCACGCATCCATTCTCTCACGTATTGTAGAGAGTGTCTATGTGTAAGTGCATTCACGAGAGAGCTGTCAGACTGATAGTTCTGGAGTGCATTTTGTGAATAGGTCGTATGTAACAAATGCAAACAAATTGACATTTTAATGCTACCAGACAATACTCTGCTTACTCTTTCTAAAGGCAAAATTTGGGCCCGCTACCTCATTTCTGTTTCATTTTCGCATCAAAATCGAAAATCTATCGCATCGAAAATAGAAACAATTTTTTGTTGACCAAAACAAAACACCCCAGACAACCAGAATGCATGTATATTCAAAGTTGTTTTCGTGATATACAAACATATATACAAACAAACAATTCGTATAGAATGCAAATAAATGGTTTATACGTACACAAGTGGAGGCCATATACGTGCATATTTTAATTTAATTTTAAACGAGTTGATTTACAATCACATACGATTTAATCTGTAATAACAAATTCATTTTGAAAAGTCTTACGATGTAATCCGATTTAATTTGTGATACAATACGACGGAAAAATGAGTCATCGCATAATAGTCGGAAATTTGCATTTTATACGATTTAACTTAAACGTAATACGAGGTATGCCATTCTTATATGCGATTTTGACTTAAACTGTAGCAATTTACGATACTGTTTGTACATTGTTATACGACTTTTGGTTGTCTGGGACCTCGTTTCTCTAATTGACAAAAATGTTACATACGACCTAATCAAAAAGGACTCCTGCAGTTGTTTTTATGTTCGACATCCGACTGATCCAGAAGCAAACATCGGCTACTTGCCGGTCTAGGAACTTCTCTCAGCTACAATGCAAAGCGTCGCAGGTTCTTCATCACAATTCTCTTGGTTAAGAAAGGGATCCTGGGGATTGCTCGCATTCTTAAGCTTCCGTAAAGATCAGAATTTTTCAGGACATTCAGAGAACTTCTTAAAAGTTAAGAGTTGTTTCGAAGGGGTCAACAGCTTTAACGAAGTTAATTGACCCCCTTGGAAGTTTAGGAAACTTACAAGAAGTCCAAAAATGTTTAAACTTCTCTGATATTACGTAAACTTTTCGGAATATTCTGAGCTTCGCGAAAGTTCTTGAAAGTTCTTTGATGTTTTATGATAAACATATTGTCCCTGTTCTCTGCCCCCTGTTTTGGGGGTTCTCTTAGCTCAAAAGGAGCAGAAATATATGAGACGTGATTTGAACTGTTGAACAGTTCTAGATCTACGTAATAATACCTGGTCATCCTGAAGTAGTGAGAAAATATCATGAGGACTTCCTTTAGATCTATATCCTGAAGGTCTTTGGAATAATTTCTGAGCAACCTGGTACTGAGAAAAAAAATATCTGAAAAACGTGACTTGAATTGTTGGTCACTTCTAAATCTACAGAATAATACCTGTTCCTCCTTGTTCATCCTGAAGTGTTGAGAAAATATTCTGAGGACTTTCTTGAGATCTTTGATATCCTGATGCACTTTGGAATAATTTCTGAGCAACCTGTTATCATGATAGATCATTCTGAAGTCTTTGAAAAATAGCCAGAGGACTTCCTTTAGATCTTTGATATCCTGGATGTTTTTGGAATAATTTTTGAGTAACCCGGTAAAAGTATATTGCTGTTTTTTTCCTTGCACTTGGCTTGTACTCCAACAGTGCTGCTAGCCATTGTGCTAGCACTGTCAAAACATAGTGCCATCAACTGCTCCCAAGAAATCTGCATCGCTGTCAGGACCTCAGAAATGCTATTGAAGATGGTCGTCGCGCCTGTTTTCAACAACCGTCTCACACCCACGAATGTTACCGTCGGCCGATCATTATCAATATACCTGATGACAATCGCCAACTGCTCGTGGTAGCCACAATCGCTCGTCTCATCTGCAATGATTGCCACTGGTTTTCCTCGCAAGGTTTTTGCAATGTCCCGCAACATTACATTGTGCAACGACGTAATCATGTCATTTTGAATACGGTTACTTGTGTACTGGCATTTTTTGGTACCTTCCGCCAAGTGTTTTCTAGCACAGGATCGTAGTTAGCCAACAACTGGGAGGCACACTTTCCCAGAATGTTCGGCCACCTTTGCTAAGTATGCGCACAATATCGATGAAATGTTCCATTATATAGCGATTTTGTAGCCGCTTTGCCTTATACCCCGTACAGACAGACTATGGCCTATATTATGTAATATAGGCTGTCTTGCAATGAGCACTCATACATCTAGTTTTCACTGAAAATCCTATATGTGAGTGCTCGGGGTGACAGGAAATGATGCCGAACATTCAGCATAAAGATGATATAATGGACAATCTCGAACTTATTGCAACGCACAGAAACAGCTGTAACTTTTTAACCACGGTAACAAATGACTTGACATTTTCAGAGAAGATTCTTCGACGAATTCTTAGTAAGGCAAAAATAGAGAAAGGTTCAATGGCAAACTAATACCTACTTTTCAATTAGGGAATCCAAAAGCTGTCTTTAAACTTTGTACAGTTGCAAAAAATTCCATCCTCAGAATTCCTTGAGGTTCTTTTCGGAATTATTAGAACTCTATGAGCTCTTTTGAAATACTTCTGAATCTGAAATTATTTTTAGAACTTCTTGACTTTTACTCACAACACCTTAGAACTAAAATTTCCTTAGAGTTTCAGAAAAATTTCCTCAGTATTATCCAGAAATTATTCCCGGAATGATCTAGAAATTATCGGTACTCCCTTGAAATTTTCCTCAAAATCGCTTTGGAATTTCACTCAAAATTTAATTTTCTCGGTATTCTTTTTGGAATTATCTTGGAACTATCTGCAGGATTCACTAGAAATTATTCGCAGAATTTTCTTGGAATACTCTCCAAAAATCCTTTGGAACTGTCCTCAGAATGCAATATTCTTGAGGTTCTTCTCGGATTTTTTTTAGAACTCTTCTAAGAACTCTTTTGAAATTCTTCTCAGAAGTCCACTGGAATTATACTTAAAACTCTTCATGATTTTTTTTTCCCATAACATATTGGAACTTAAATTCCTTTAGAGTTTCAGAAATTTTTCCCGGAATGAACTAGAAATTATCCTCGGAATTCGCTTGAAATTTTGCTTAAAATCTCTTTGGAATTTCACTTAAAAATTGATTTTCTAGTTATTATTTTCGAAATTATCTTGGAAATATCTGCAGGATGCACTACAAACCATCCGCAGAATTTTCTTTGAATTCTCTCCAGAAATATTTTGGAACTGTTTTAAAAGTTCAATATCCTTGCGGTTCTTTTCGGAATATTTTTGAAAGAACACCTTGGAACTTAAATTTCCCAAAAGTTTAAGAAAAATTTCCTCAGTATTCTCCAGAAATTCTTCCCAGAATGAGCTTGAAATTACCCTTGGAATTCCCTTGAAATTTTCCTCAACATCCCTTTGGAATTT